TTAATTTCTGAGAAGAACACGCCGAATGCAACGTGTACCCTCGAGTTACCTTTATCTTTTTAACATTCCCCCCTCTGGAAATTTGAAGGAATGCCGAAAATCAAAAGTCTGTGGGCGCGTGAGTGAGTTGCAAGTTATGAAGGCCGGCAATCCGTTCTCGGAAGGCAGCAATAATGATTTTGGGTTAATTGCTCGCTTTTCGATCTAATGGAGAACATATCTATCAGCACACTGGATTCAATGAATTATTGATGAAACGACGTGGTCGTGGCGAAGGGGAGGGAAAGGTCAGTCGACGGTGGCCGACGATCGTCGTGAGGATGAGGGTGGAATAAACGGCGCGTCCCTCCGAATATGAGTATCCCAGCCCCGAAATCCCTCCAGTCCAGTCCGCGAAAGCTCACGGCTCTATCTGTGAATGCATATTCATCGGGCCGCTGCCTGGCAGAGGTGCAGGATAGACGCGCACGAGGGATGGGAAAACTTCGTGGAGGGCCGGCGGAGGGACCGCCGTCGTACGGCGCTCTCATAAATTACCGCTAGTTGCCGGGTAACATGTTATTTGCCACCGAGCTCCACAAATGAGTTCACTTTGTATTTAATTACTCGACTCACGCCCAGGGCGTATCCCGATGGCGGATCCACCCTGCGCCGCCGCGGCGGGCCGCCTCGCGCGCAGTTTCTCTTCCTCGCTTCTTTCTTCTTCGCCGCGCCGGCAACGACTCGTGCAATCCTCATCTTGGGTACCGCGTTACTTAATTTTACGCTTGTTGTCCAAGTGGCATGTCTTCTCCTCAAAGCGTTTCACTCACGAAGCGAATTATCCGATTGCCGCGCTTTTTGCATCTTGAGTAATACGCTGGAAATTTTTATTAATAATTTATTAGCTTCATTTGGACATCCTTAAATATACGCGTAACTTCGTTGTATCAATATTAACAAGGATTGTTGTATATCTTTGAACACAGATACTTCCAAGGTTGGGAAAGTTACTTTATAAAAGTATCTAGTTGCAGTTACAGTTTATTTCGCTAAAAAGGTAACTAGTTACGGTTACAGTTACTCAAAAAGTAACGAATCGTTACTTTGCAGTTACTTTCTTGCAATGAAAATTAAAGTGTCAAATCTGCATCTGTATCGTAAAGTGTCGATCAAGGCGATTGTGCGCAAATGCAAGGCCTAATGCGATCGGTGGAAATTTGAAAAATATATAAAGTAACTATTAATGTGACTGAGTTAAGTTACAGTTACAGATGGAGAGAAAGTAACGAAGTTAAGTTAGAGTTGCCGAAAAATAAGTAACTGTAACTGTAACTTCATTACAGGTAACGAGTTACTTCCCAACCCTGGTTATTTCGAATGATGTAAAAGTATACTTTGTGACGTCGCGCATAGCTTCTCAGCTTACACTTGTACAAATGACGAGAATCAAATTATGGGCCGCGTAATTTCAGTTCTACGGGAGAGCAGTTTCTTGACAAATGCGTTATCTCGTCTGTTTCGATTGCGTCGGCGAGTTTCTGGCAAGTCAAGGAGTCGAGACGCGCAGCGGAATGAGTGGGTTGAGCGCGCGCAACTCCGACGTCACGGGCAGGTAGATACAAAGGTAAAAGGTGGAGGTATACATATATGTATAGGTGGATTAGGGCAAGGGCAGAGAGGCAGGTAGGCCAGACTTACGCTTCGCCGTCCTAATTATTGGTTCCGCCACAATTCCATCCGTGGAACGAGATGATAATAGATGAAAGCGATCAATTTTTAAATTGCGCCTGATGAACGGAAAAAAAGCGAGAATATCTCGCGCGGGATATTGGAAACCGAAGGAGGACGCGATGCAAGAAAAACCTCGTAGCACCTGGGATCGGTATCCACGTAATTAGTTATTCGCGAGAGAAAATTGTCTTCAAGAACTTCGAAGACGATTTGATATTTTAAAGTCATCTGATGTATATTTTGTAATTGTTGAAAATTTGATAAAATATTGCGTGTTCCATTATACAAATACGCTCTTATAAACATATACCCATATCTATTCCCATATTTGCTAAATTACCAGAAAATATTTTTTTTTAATTGTGATTCCTAAAATTTCAAGTTTGAAGATTTTTAACGTGAAAAGCTAAATTCACGAAAATGTATAAAATAATAGGAAAATGTAACAAATAACGAAATTGCAATATAATTTCAACAATTTTCCAGAGTATTTAACAATGCCAGAAATTCGGACAGTTGAATCACGAAGTTCAAGAATTTTCTCTGTTTTCCACTTGTTTTTTCCCGTCTCCTGAGTCCTGTATAATTTTTTAACTCTCCCCATATCTCGCGAGACGCGAAACCGCGCGGCGAACCGCGGAGTCGCGCGCGTTCGCATTTTGCACGAGTGTCCTAGCCGAAAAGATACGGAAGGTTTTTAAGTAGAGGATTATCGTTCCGACTACTTAGGAAGAATTTTCGGGCGGCTGTGAGGCGATCTCCGAAATCCAAGACGGCTGCGCGCTCGGAATGGGGAATGACAGAGATCGGGTTGCCACGGACCACCGTGTCGCGGTCGCCGCAAACCTTATCCTACCTGTTTTCGCTAATTGAGCGAGTAAAGATGTAACTGGACCTTACGTCCTTAAAGTATTTGCACCCTTTTGTGCAGGCGCGATCCGTTTTTATCCCGGGAAAGCGGACGACCCGGGCTTGTCGATCTCCTGATTTCACGCAGCGCTCAACCGAAGTTGATACATTCCAGAAATGATCTTTCTTCAGAGATTGAATGTTTTCGATACAAATCGCTCCTCGGGGTAATATTCAGCGCGGAAAATCAGCAAACAATATTAATCACAGAAATCTATCAAGATACATGGTACTTTTTTAACAATTGGAGGATAGGAAGGCCAATGCGAGCCGTACGCTGTTAATAAGGCGTAGTCTTTGAAACGGTCATGGACAATTTAATAATAAAACGTAAAATACAGTTGAGGTTTCTCTCTCTCTCTCTCTCTCTCTCTCTCTCTCTCTCTCTCTCCCTCTCTCTCTCTCTCTCTCTCTCTCTCTCCTGTTTAAGTCTTTTGTGCTTTTCTCTCATCATGACATTATCACGAAAAATTATACGGACTATTACATCCTTACCAATACGAGATCTCCACCAAATGGAGGGAGAGACTGCAACGTTCGTCTCGAGAGACATTCAGATAAATTTTATATTTCTATGTTTATATTTCTACGTTTTAACGTGTGTTGTTTTTGTACACTGAAGATGATCCGGAGTGGATCGAAATGTATTTTACGTCTTACAATTAGTATTACATTGTCCATGACGGCTCGCATTGGCCTTCCTATCCCTCCACTTATTTTTATACTTTTAGAGTCTAAATATATTGGATCTTTTTCCAACAACACTGTTATAAAATACATATATTGTGTTCCTTCATTTGATATAAAAATTAACCGATTTGCTTATTTATTAGTTTTTCCAAATATCCTTGAATCCCCGAGATGTCTGTTACATAAGTAACATATTAAGTAACGATTCGTTACTTTGTAATTACTTTCTTGCAATAAAAATAAAAATGTCAAATCTACATTTGAATCGTAAAGTGTCGCTAAAGGCGTTTATACGCAAATGCAAGGCCTAATGCGATCTGTGGATATTTAAAAAATATATAAGCAACCATTAATGTAACTGAGTTAAGTTACAGTTACAGATGGAGAGAAAGTAACGAAGTTAAGTTAGAGTTACCAAAAAAGTAACCGTAACTGTAACTTCGTTACGAGGTAACGAGTTACTTCCCAACCCTGTTGGAAACGATAGCGAAGAATATCTAAAAGGTGTAATACGAAATTCTATTGCTACATTGAGAAAAATTTTCACCGGACAAACCAATTAAATAGCGTTTCCGATAGTTAATTTATCCGATTAAATGATGAATACATCCGATGAAATGCAGTTACCGATGAAACTTGATTGAAAAACCGATCACATTTGTTATCGGATATATCCGTTTGTTATTATGTAATTGGATTATCCGATTATATTTAATCGGACATTTTTGTCAGTGTACATACACATAAATTGTATGAAATTCGTCAGGCGATCCAAATACAATATTTTCCACCTGCCACGGGTGTCCGTTGTATCCTGACTACAAGATGCACATTCTCCCTTGTGCACATGTCAAGAGCAATTTTCCGGTGTCGCGCTTGAGGTAGCGCAAGAACGTGTCGACCGAGGAAGTGTAGAACGAGGAAGTGCCCCGACAGCGCACGCATTATTACGAGGAGAGGGTGCCCTTGTCGCGATCGCTATTATTTAATTCCGTTTAATCGCGTCCGTTCGCACATCGGAAAGAGCTGACGAAAATTTCATTAACGTGCAACGAGATAGAAGCCGAGCAAATCGACCCGACCGCAATCCAGCTTCACTCATTTCCGAGAACGCTTGACCGCGATTCATTCTCTCGCTACTCAAGTTCCTCTGCTTACAACTTTTTGTGCGCTATGACTTTAATGGCTACGCGGCTCCATATGCGAGGAGATCGTGCGTGTACGACGGAGGCGCCGGGCCACCTGTTGCGGCCCCCGCTCGCGTACCCCAGTCCGGGGCCCCGGGTACCACCGCGAAGTGGGGAACCGAGCTCGACCACGATTGGTGGTCCGGCACGTGCTACTCGAGGGTGCCTCGCTCCACGAACGCATAAATATCCCAGCGCTGGTCCACCCGACTTCAGAACCACCCCGTGGCTCGACTCGACATATCGATCGACGCGCGAGAAAGTCCTAACTTACGTCAATCGTAGTACCATCGTGCTCTTCGTTACATCGTTCGTCCCAGTTGCGAATTCCGATAAGAGGAGCAGACTCGCGAGCCAGAAGGGAGGCGGAACCTTCGTTCTCCATCCGTTCTCCATTTAACGAAGTGCGAAGTTTCAGTGAAAGGATCCGGGTTCTTCGCTCTTCGCGTGAGATAGTCGCGCGCGCGCGCGCGTGCATTGTTCCAACGCGTAAATCCTGCTATGGAACTGCAGGAGATGTTCCGTTACGGATACATGTTCCCGCCGCGCGAGGACGAGCCGCTCGTGCCTGCCTGCGCGTACCTGGACCTGCCGAGCTACGCTAAGACGACTAGCAAGACCGCAGTGGGCCTGCCGCCCGTCAGCACCCTCGCCGTGCCGCAGAGCCTCGTCTACGACAGCAGCAACTGCAGCGACGGCTGGCACACCCCAAGTCCCACCGCCAGTCTACGCTCCGTCAGTCCCTCCACTACGTTGTCGATCTCGTCAGAGCCGGAAACGGTTAACAGCGCGCCGACGTATCGGCTACTGGGCACGGCGATCAAGGATAAGAGAAGTGCGACGACGAAGCGGGGATCGTCGACGACGATCGGTCTGAGCAGTATCGGGAGCAAGCGGCTGCGCGTCGACGGGATGGACCACCTCGTGGCCGAGGAGATGATCAATCTGGACGGCGAGCGCGAGGACGGCGAGGAGAGGATCAATCTGGACGGCGATAAAGCGCGGTCCTGCCACGGCAGCGTCATCAGCAACTCCAGCAGCGGCCTGTCCGACCGGACGCTGGACGGCGACAGCGAGGAGGACGCGGACGAGGTCAGCGACGGAGGCGCGGATCATCCGGAGGACGCGCACATCGTCTCCGGTGGACGCGATCCTCGCAGGAGGGGCAAGTACGTCAACTCGACCATCGTCAGGAAGCGCCGGCTGGCCGCGAACGCGCGCGAGAGAAGACGGATGCAGAATCTGAACAAGGCTTTCGACAGGCTGCGCACCTACCTGCCGTCCCTCGGCAATGATAGACAGTTATCGAAATACGAGACCCTGCAGATGGCTCAATCTTACATCACCGCGCTTTACGACCTGCTGCAGTGAGAGGGAGGAAGTGCGTTCGTTCGCCGCGACACCGGAAGACAATAAGTTCTCTAAGCTCGGTACAGAGAGGTCGGCGGCGAACGAGAGTCCGCGTGATTCGCCGGCTCTTCTCTCGACACTATTTAATTATTGCTACCGAGGCTAAATCAATTGAGCGCTACGTGAAAACTACTATTATGTTATCAGAAAGAAATATAAAGGTATAGAGATTTGGAGAACGATTGTTCTAGTTATCGCATCCGAGACACGTGCCTTCAAACGAAACAATTGTTCGTACATGTAATTGACTGGATGAGTAATTATTTCGACTTGTATCTGTCGCTTTGAAATCATGTTTCATAATATTTCTCAATATTTTCCGCAAGCTTTCAAACATTTTCAGGACTCGGGAAATGATTTCGTATCCATCGAAATTGCACAAATACTGGAAAATGTGATAATAACAGATAACAGCGATCTCATACAAAATATGAACGATACATATGTAAATAGACCTGTAAATTTTGTATCATAGTCTCTTAAGTTGGTTAGTTTTAAGTACTGTATCATATCGCCTGCCGAACTGTGTATACTATAATTTATTTTTAATACAGCATATAGCTATACTTCTTGCGAGACTGAAAACGCCATGTATTTTTACAAAAATAAAACTATTCTACAGTAATCGTCCGCACCTCAATCCGTAAATCTCCACGCGATTGCGTTATATCGCATTACACATAATGTCTGAACAGATCTAACTTCCCATGATGTTTCTCTCGTGCCTTCAATTTTCCGCTTACGCGATCCTGTTATCGTCATCTTTCGTGCGCATTTGTCCCCGTACGTCGGCGTCGATCGTCGATCCACTTTTCGTGCACGCAACTTCTCGAAGCAAGAATTCGCCAACGCGTCGGGGTCGATGGATGAATGAGTGTCCGTCGAAGAAGCAAAAGAGATGGGCAGCACCACCATCGGTGGTCCGGTCGTTACATGAAACCCGCGCGACGCGTCGGTGCCTGGTTTCATCGCAATTTGAGAACCTGCAGACTTCTTCCTTCGGCAATGACTCCTTCCTTCCCTCTCTTTCTTCTCGCGCGTCCTGCTTGTGCACCTTACACATTCTCAGCCTATCGTTCCTTCGGCGGATGAAGCTTTTCAAATTTCGCTAGCGAAATTTCAAGAGCCATGAACGTCCGCTGTTTTGCGTCGAAAAAGTTGGTTGGTTTTGCGAGACTGCTTTCTTACTCGTGGAAAATATACACCGAGAGAATTTTCTCTTAAAGTTTATCCTGAAAATCGTGTAATCGTGGGACAACATGACATTTCGAAGGATTTTATCAGAGTTTTTTTGAAATTTCATCATACTTTTTACTAGCAATTATATTTAATATATATTTTACTCATCAAGTTGCTCAAAATGATATTAAAGAAAAACTTCTCCGTGCAGACAATAATTTGGTATAGCGACACAATTCTAACGTTTGGGCAGAAAACTCGCAAGAGACTATATTTTTCCTTTATTTTATTTATCGCTCCGAATTATGGCATGGTGTAAATTTGCATGTGCGACGTTTCGAAAAGCTCTCGTCAAGTTCTTCAAAATGCCACGTTGTCCCACGATTACATGATTTTCAGAGTGAGTTAAAAAAAAATCTCTCCAAGTAGACAATGATTTGGTACGGCGACATAATTCCAACGTTTTGTCAGAAAACTCGCAAGAAACTGTATTTTCCCTTTATTCTATTTACTCTCTAAAAATCAATCGGTGACTATTCACTGTTTTCAGTGAAAATCCACTGATTGACTTTTAGAGAGTATTGTTCTGAATTATGGCATGGTGTAAATTTCGATGTTGCTCCGCGCGCGAAGACTTGATTTCTTGGATTTATTTAAGAAGGATAACTGTTTTACTGGCAACTTATTATGTACCACTCCACTTTCGTCATCAAGCTATGGACGACTGGCGAGTATAACAGCCAATACTAATTCATACGTATGCATAAGAGCCACTAGAACTTTACGCATCTGAGGCAATTCGCTTCTGGAAACAATTAAGGAAGTGGATTGCTTCAGTTTTATAAAGTTCGGCTTCCAAGTTTCGCGTATGAAAACATGTAAGCGTGAACTTCTGTACACCGCAGAAGTTAGATAAATACAAAGTTCTTCGGGATACCGATGAACGAAGAGATGCGACGTCTAAGTCAACACTGTCGGAGAATCGTAAACCGACCAGTGTTTCCAGTGACAATAGAATTGCCTCCACCCTCTCCGCGTTTAACGCTACTTCGGGGAGAGAGCAAACTTCCGTGTGCAAACCGTCAGGCTCACGAGCGTCCCTTTCCATCGGAACGGCGAGAAAAGTAGATTCCAAGTGCTAACTTGTACCGCAACGTCCCTTTTCCCGAGGCAGCGCGTTTTGCCAATTGCTTTATTACATCGCCGATAATAAAAATACTTTTTCCCCCCCCATATTTCACATATTCATAAAATTGTAACTAAGCTAACCAGCTTGATTACAAATTCCGCTGCAACGGAAATCATTATATTGAATACGTACAAACATTATTGCATTCAATAACGTATAAGAATTATTTTGAAAAGTTAAAAATTCCACAACTCTGACGAAACTAAAACCGTTTATTATAAAACCATTAACACGTTCGACGTAAAATTGTTGAATCCAATTAATCTCTCTAGGGTGCTCTCACAAGTTTTCTCCCTGCAAAACATATTAATCAATATACTCAGGAAGCTAATTATACTTAAGCATGCGTTTTATATGCGTCTCACGCTTCGTCGCGTGGCATTTAACTTTTTTCGCCCCCGCTGCGGTCTCCGTCGCGATAAGATCGAACTACCGTATAAGTGGTCGTCGCGAAGCACCGATTCACGGCCGCATCTGACCGCGAGGACCTCGACGTTGGAGGAGGAGGAGTACCGAGGGACCCGGGGACCGTCGTGGGGGGAAGGAGAGAGGTGGAGACAGGCGATGGGACAGGCCCCTTTGGACGAGAGAACGTAAATATTCCTCGAGGCGATTAATTCTGCGGAGTCGACTACCACCTTCGCTCTGTCAGTGGGTTCCGTTTTCTGACAAAGGGGAGTCCGGCTGCGACCGGCGGGCCGGCCGGTGGCTGCTTTCGCGAGATCGGGAAGGGGTTGCGCAAAAGAAGGGGAGGATAAAGGGACAAACGCCGCAGCGTCGTTGTCTGATCTTGGAGATTGCTTTATTTGAGAGACGGTCTAACGCGCGCGCCCCGAATGCGCAGCCGAATATCTCGGGGGCCCCGGGATCGGGATCGGGCTACCGGCGGGGATTAAGCGTCGGGATAGCGCAATCTCGCGACCGGATCGAACGATAACCGCGATCGGCCGGTCGAAATTTGTCGGCGCCGGCCGCGCATTCGGCAGCCCCCCGCGCCGGCGTCTCCGCGGCACCTGTGTCTCCTCCTGGGCCCCCGTTCGTTGCCCCTCTTCCTCGTGGGCACAGCCCGGCGGACTGAACAGTAATTTATGGATGAGCTACCTAAGTGACTGGAATTAGGGATTGCGACGAAATATGCGGTGGAAATGCACGTTTCGTTGCATTCGGTTGACAGTGTTCTTTAAGTCACGCCGGCATCTCATATTAATTGTAGACAGAAGGGAGAGAGCCTAAAGACCGAATCAGGGTACCTGTCATCGGGATTATTCCGTTTCCCATAGAAAACACAATAGAAATCTCTAGGAAATAATTGAACAATTCCGATCGGAATCAATTCCGAACATTTCCGTGATAGGTATCCAAACTAGCAATTGTCGACGCGGATTGGATTGGGATTTGCGATTGTCTTTTAGTCAATGAGAGTAAAGCAGCAAGCGAATCGACTCTCATTGGCTAGAGGACAATCGCCAATCCCAATCCAATCCGAGTCGGTAATTGTTAGTCTGATTCGGCCTTAAGCTGTTTCATCTTCTCAGAAGAGGAGATTTTTATTCATTACTGCTCCAACATGGTGATTTGAATGCCGCGTTGTAGGACGCATAACGTAGTTTTAGTTTATTTTAGCATTTATAATAGAATCTCTTTCCGAGACCTTGAATTTAGTAACGCAAATATCAATGAAAAATAGATTTCGTAAACATTATGTGTCAATCGCAAGACTAAACATTCTAAAAATGTTCGAAAGATATTCCAAATAAGTAATGTATTGCACTTAAAAACAAAACGATCCTTCTAATATTCTGCAGCATTTTCTGATTTTGAAGAGTCGGGCAATCGTTTGGTGTAAATATTTTCGCGCTTTTAATCGATCTCGGCCGAAATTGAGGAACGTCGAGACACGTGGCAGCGCGAGACCCGGCCACGTGGGAGAAGATAAACAGCGTATGCGTCCACTCGCGCACCCGTCGTAGCAGAATTACTCGGAGCGGACATAAATCAGTCGCTCCTCGCCGACGACGTCTCGCGCGACCAAGTCGCGGCCAACGTGCCTCCTGTCCGTTCGCTCAAGCTCGAGCCTGCTGCATAATACATTCGATGAAGCTCGCTCGAGCTTGTCCGAGCGGGAAAATGTTTCCACTTTGCAAGGCAGAGATGAAGAAATGAATAAATGTACGGAGCGACTCTGAATCGCGGGCGCAGAAGCCGGGAACCGTCCGTAGACGTACGGGGGCGCAAAATTAATCGACAAATACAAAAGATAATTTCTGCTCCCTTTCAATAGGTATCGCAGGGCCGCTCTAAAATCGGCCGTCGCACAGTCCCGGCCCGGGTGGTCCGACGGAAGTCGATCGCGCGTATTGTCTAAGAAGAAAGGGAAGGGGATCTCCGGAACGTCCTCTCCTTTTACGAGAGATGTACGAAATCACATCGCGGTCCCACGATGTAATATCTCTTACAACGCGCCTGCTCGTGCGTGCTCCCGCGAACGCTTCCGGATTATAGACGCAGGTAGACGGACAGGGGCCCGATCCTGGTGAAGGCAACGAGCAACACGACCGCCCATTGTGCCCCGCGTCGATGATCCTGCGTTCGCGCGTCTCAAATCGTAAATCGACGAAGGTTCCTGTACCTGCGTATCGTTTTTCCCAAGCGCGTTTCGAACCGGCGCACTCGATCCCACCCTACAAGATACAATATCTCGTAATCTTTTCAATGTCGTCGGTCCTCGATTATCTCCAAGTATCGAGGGCTACGCGAGATGTGGGCAAAATACCGTCGTACCATTTCCAAACAAGTATTTATGTGGCGAAATATCTTTCCTCTAGCGACTCTCGTCGACATTATTGAAACCGCTTCAGAAATTCTTTTTTTTTAAATCGTTATCTAGGGTTACAAAGTTATTCCTCTCACGCTGTCGTTTAAGCAAACGGGCTTGCCCTTGGAAAAATTTACTTTAAATGAAATTAAAGATTTTAAAAGTAATCTTTCAAATCTAAGAATTTACTAAAAGAAGTTAAAAGTTTACTTGAAAAATTCTAAAGTAATTTTGGACACTTGAAGTAATTTTTAGATAGCCAAGCCCGTCCAAGTTTCCGCTAGAGAACGCGGCACAGCACTTTCTTGTGAGAAGAAAACCGCACGCGGTATTATAAATTATATCACATACTTTTCACAATTCTTAGAAAAGTTTTTTTTTTCAAAATTCCTAAAGTAACTTTTAAGTTTTAAATTTACTTTTCATATTTCTTCTTTTTCTAAAGTAAAATCTTTAGGTTTTCCGAGGTATATTTTCCCAAGGGTGTACCGAAACGTCCTTGCGATGCTCGCGGAAGAAAGTTTGTTTTGTTCACGAGACACGTGGTATGTATACAAGAAAATTAAAACTCAGTAGAACGTAAAAACGCGAGTTCACGTCCTCCCCCCAAGGTGTCCCAGGGGACGTCGACTCATTGGAGATCAACATCCTTCCCATGGCACTCCTGTCGTTACGCTTTGTACAATACGCGCGCCGAAAGCGAGTCGCTGACGCCAGTCGAGCGGGTTGTTTGCACGATTTCGTTTGGAGGCCAAATGAAATCCGCTTAATGCGATCGAGCGACGGTTCGACGGTTCGATCCTTTCCCGGTTCCACGTGGGAAGGGCTTCCGTCCATGGCGGCGGCGGCGGAAGGGTCGACCCGCCCGGAGAAGCGGGCTCGAGAGGGCACGTGGGGTGGCGAAGGGATGAGGGAGAATCGAGCCGTGGCGACTTCGGGGAGGCACGCGCTCGCGACACGCGCTCGCCTCCCCCTCGCTCTCCGCTCGCCACTTGAGATCGCCCCGGGGACATTAATCCCGTTTAATCAAACACCGGCCGGACCCGTAACCGTCGTCTCATTGTGTTTATCATTCGTTGCGGGGAAAAGAGAAGGGCGGGAGGGACTGTGTTTATGCAAGCATCGTTTAGAGAAAAGGCACGACTTTGCATAATTCAGTAATCAGAACCTTTTCCGTACGAATCCACTCGCAAGTTTCTTACGACACTCGACACGTTTTGATACTGACAAGAAACTGTGAGAAGAGAATTGATAAGAAATACCATGTCGCAAAATTAAACTGCGTTTTGAAAGCCATCGATTTTGTTTTATGCTCGGCCTTTATTTTAATTCCAACAATTAAGCATTTTGTTATAAGTAGCTCTGTTGCGAATATAAAACCTGTTTTGTTACTTCATTCCCAAGGAGATTAATTCGCGAGAAATTCTTTTCTTTTTATCTAGTGTCATTAGTGTTTCAATGTTCTCATTGATAAACAATCTAAACATCAATGTCTAATTGGTGGAAAAATTTGCAAATAAAACGAAAACGCGAACTGAGATATATCATCTACAGCGGTGATATAACGTATGCCACGTGCACTTTACCTTATTTAATATCGGTCGTAACGCACAAGGTATTATCCCATTTCATTATCGGTTTAAGCCTAATTTAATTAACAAATACAGCTCTCGAGACATAGTATTTAATTACAGGCTACTTCTTAATTCGCTTGTGCGTTATTCTATTGCTGAAGATTCATATCCTTTCATTAGTATAAGACGAAGCTTAAGAAGCAGGCTTCCCTTAAAATTCGTAGACCTGGAATATTACATAAACAATCTTATCGGTTAGAGAACAGATTCATTCCTGAACCGCTTTAGAAGATTCGACCGAATGATCATCGTCATCTGTCGCATCCTCGACTAGATCATTCTCAATCTCCCGCTCGTTACTTGGCCGATTTCCGGAAGCGTTTCGCATATCGATCAACAGACTCTGCCTGCACAACGTCGTGATCGTGCTCATGTTGCCGCCGTCGACGTTCCGGGTGCGAATTAATCGCGAAAGCTTCAGCTTACCGACGATCTTCGCCAACGGGCTCGCGGAGTCGCGGCGCTTCGCGATCGCCCTCGGCAGAGATTCGCACCCGCGTTCGGCTGTGACCAGTCGATCGAACGTATCGGGATCCACGTTGATCATGCCAGCGCTCGCAGATTTCACCAGCGAATCCGATCGCACGACGTCGGTCACTCGATCTCCTGTCTGGCGCGCGTCGACCTTGTCCTCGCCCACAGAGACGGTTTCGTTTTCCGCGGTCAACGTCGTCGTTTCCGCTCGGTCTTCCGGTTCTTCTGACTTCGCGGTAGCCTCCGTGGTCCCGTTTGACTTCCATACTTCTGTCGAGATCTGAGTTGTCGATGTTCTTCTCCAAGGATTCTCAGGGTTGGCAGCAACCTCCGCCGGTTCCATCACAGAGCGACAGAAAGGACCGCCTCGCCGCGACAGGAAGCTCTCCTTGGCACGCCGTATTCTAGAGGAACGCGACTCCAAACTGCTGACCACGGAGGATTCCGCTGCCGTCGTTCGTCCTTCTCTCTTCGCCGCGACGTCCGAGAGTATCTTGAGCTTGTGCATCAAGTCCGACGGTACCGCGTCGCATCTCGCGTGATTCTCGTCTTGCTGCTTCGCTTCGTTCTGTTTTCGGCCGAATGTGACCTCTTGCCACCCTTCTTCTTGCCTATGGCTATGATTTCTTTCGCGTTTTTCCTCGATTTGCACTTGACTGCACTTGATCTTACTGCGTTCTCCATCGTCCTGTGTCTGATTATATTTAAGTTCGCCTCGTATTTGGCCCGCGTTTCGGTCCCACTTGGTCATCGTTGTCTTGGATTTCTCTAGATATTCAGAAACTCGCGCAGAAGTTGTCCCGATCGAACACGCGTTTACAGGAATGGTCACAAACTCCGTGTCCGATTGACAAATTTTATCCTGCTCTTCATCAATAAATGGCGGCTCTTCGTTACTTAATTGTTTATTTAGTCTCTTATTTTTCACGCTATTCTCTTCATACGGTGAATTTTTCTCCTGAATCGTTGCACCTTCTGTCTTGCTTTCTGAGCTTCTCCTGGATTCAGTTTCGAAAGCAACCTCATTTTCCTTCGATGTGGAGCGTAGAGGCCACGGCAGCGATAACGATACTCGCAGCAGAGCATCCTGTCGGCACAATTTCGGCGACGCCGACCTCGATTTGCTCTTGGATTTCGACGAGTGTGGAAGGCGACCGTCGACGGAGCTGTCGCTCTGCTTCCTCGAGGACGGTCGATCTTCCGATCGACGAAACGGGCCGAATATCATGCGCTTTGTCTTCACGAAGACGTTTCTCGTAGAAGAACTGTCCTTCTTAACACACTCGACCTGGTGATCGCGGGTCATTTTTTTAGATGCGTAATTATTGACAACCGCGGTCTCGTCCATGCGATTTAGGCTCGTGAAACGATCTCGAGCTTTCTCCACGGGTTTCATCCCGCTTTCCGCACACGCCGTGGGAACAATTATCTTATTTAACGTCTGTTCATTGATAAGAATTCTCTCCAAACAGCGTGCTTTGTTGTCCCTGGCGACAGTTATAGGAATAGTCTGAACGGTCGAGTTGGTCAAAAGACATCTTGGAGTTTCCAGGAGATTTGACTTCTTCATTTCTGGTAACCTCGATGATGATGAAGTCCCTTTTATGCTTCTGTCGTCGTAAGAGGAGCTGCAAACTTCGTTACAGTCGATTAGCTCGTACAAGCGACTATCCATCGTATCGCCGCACATCTCGGTTTTAAACGTGAGAATTTCGTAGTGCCGATCCGCATCGGTCTGCAACTCGGGTGAACCGCAGCTCTCGTAATGTCCCTCGTTTTCGCTATCAACACCGTGGCATTCCGATGTATCCTTGCTGTTCTCTGCGACAGAAGCATCACAATGAGATTCTTATCAAAAAAAGAAAGTACAAAGTGAAGGAAAGTAAAAGCAAAGCAGAATAAAGCTTACAAAATTAAAGAAGAATATGTGGACTTACTGGAATTTAAATTTGACAATTGCGATGAGATTTCCTTGGAATCGTGACGGTCCAACGATGGTATCGTTCTTGTTGCTTGATAAGCGCAACAATCTGTGCTAAGAATTGCCTCTCTCCGTTTGGCCTTCTCATCGTCCTCGTCATCTTGGAGACTCTTTGCATCGCCCGTCCGTTCGTTGTTCGATGATTCGTCTGCTAGATTCTCGATCTTCTCCTTGCACGTCTCATCCTTACACGTCTCGTCCATCCCCTTGCACGTGAGCGGTGGGTCCTGGTTGTACCGACAGGACTCTAATTTCAATTGCGTTATGATAAAACTTACTTTTCCAAAAAGTTTGAGCTTCGACGCAGTGACCCGAATGTCTTACGAATGATAAGTAGCCGTAAATAGGCAACTTGTTTCTTCATTATGCATTCATACTTTGCGCAAAAAAAAATAAAGTCATTAAATAGCAACGTGCGAGAAAGTAATACGTTAAAGTAAGATTAAAGTAAGATTGGATTTTAGTTCTTTAAATGTACCATAAATTCTTCCGCATTCGTCGACGAGATCTCGAGTCTCTTCGCTAAGTGTGTAGATTCGGCGTTGTCACTTTCTGAAATAGAATATCGGAAAATAAAGAAAGTAATGTATCTTCGCTTTCCCTCAAAGGCAAGCAGTGTATGAGAAGTTGATAAGCTTGAAAACACACCGAAATAAAAGAAGCGATTAATTGTTAAAGACTTCAAGCTGGGAATTGAAATAATTAATATCTAGAATATCTCACCGAGAAAGCCTTGCTTCCTTCTACCATTTGTGCTCTCGTAAATCGATGTAGAAGGCAATTCGAGTCTCGTCGAATCTCTGAGAATACATTACTGATTTTTTTTTACACAATTTTTTAAAAGTGTCAACTAACTGAGGAAATGATTCGTGGATTTACCTATTTGCCTCATCGTCCGACTCGTCCCAAGTGTCTCGATTCCATTCGATTGAACGGTCGGACTTTACGGAATCGCCGGAATCCGGGATCGAGCGCCGCGTTTTCTCGGTCCAACCCGTGGAGTCGTCATCCTCCTTGCTTTCTTTGCGCCAGTTCGGCTCCCAACTCGGCTTGTCTTCATCCAAAGACGTCGTTTTTCCATGCCAGTCCGCAGACACTGGAAAATATTCTGGACTTGGACTGTTCTCGCTCGAACAAGCCTGCGAACCGATTTTCCCGCCGTCCCATCGCTCGCAGACCTCATCCTCTTCAGCTTTGACTAGAAATACTGGTGAAGGCTCGTGGCTCGAGGTAACTGTACCAAGGGGAACAGCAATGCTGGTGGTTTCGCTGGCTGCGACGCAGTACACTGGCGTTTGATGGGGTCGTACTCCCGCCAAAGGGCTGGCGGTCTCCTCGATAACGTCCTCGATGTCGACAATCATTGCCTCTGGCTCCGAGTCCTCTACCGCCGTGTCCTCCGCATCTTTAATCCCCTGTGAATTATCTGCGACAAATAAATGCAATAAGATTAGCTAATGATTGAGAATGTTAAGAGTCATTATTAGAGTAGCGTGCTTACTAGAGACCGGTAAGACGTTCATGCGAGTGTCATCTTCGAGCTTGTCCGCAGAAGCGAGAGACTGGAGACTCGCGGAGCGACGTAGCGTGATCGATTCGTCGCGAAGACTGCCTTCGAAGACACTTCCGTCGGACTTGGATCTCTTCAGCGTCCAGTGGAATGCATGATTCTTGCCTGTAGTCACGGAACAACGGTATTTTAGCAGCTATTACTTTACGATGTTGAGTATTTCAAAGTTACTCAATCTTACTCGTCGTACTTGGCTCTGCCGACGTAACTTCGTCCGAATCTTGCGCGAACGGCGTGTAGCCCGGCCCCAAGAGGCGAAACGTGGAGGACCTCGGCGATATCCCGCGGTACTTCTCCCAGTCGTACAGCTTCCTCGTAAATTCTCGAGATATACCCTCGAAACGGTAAGAGCCGACGGATGTGCGAATTAGCACTTCGTTGCCGCAGTTTACACCTCGAGATGTAGCCATGAATCTTGGATCAATCAAAAAGCTTAATTTATAGCGCTTCGTCAGCTTCTATCACTCTATATTTATCTCTAACACTTATTATCTTTTATATTTCAACATCTTTTGTAATCCCTTCCCTAATACCATACCAAGTATTCGACGTTTCTCTTTACGTACTGCAATGCGAGCACAGCCTCTCGACATCCACCACCGGGTGAGATCGTTTTTTGATCATTGCAAGCGACATTCGTTTTTATGATTGGTTTTTTTTTGTAACTCAAACCTCCGCTCTTAATTTATATTTATATTAATAATTAGCGTCATGTTGCAAGTAATTGATCGAAATGTTTGACCATTATGAATGTTATTATACATTAAACTTTTCTATTCCGCATCTAACATCCTGCGTCGGCTCTTACTGCCTCCCTTTTTCTTTCTGTTTCATTTGTTTTATTATCAGAGCCCCCTTAGACTGTATTCGTTCTATATTTAGCAAAAGTATTGCGGTGGAAAAGAGATCTGCTATACCTATATTGTTTCTAAATCCAGAAATTATGTCTTTCACCGCAAGAATATTGAGACTTTTAACAAATAACAAAGTTAGAGGCTTAATTTTATCCCATTTCATTTTTTCTGCTTTGAATATTGCAAACTTATGTTACTAAACTATATTTTTTAAGCAAACAAATTTAATAAGATTAATTTTTTTCCTGTGACGTACAAAATAATGATTTAAAAGAATACACCCAATCTGTAAATTAAATTGAATTACTGCAAACTGCATTTAGCGATATTAGTGAGAATTGCAACGCAGATCTACATCGTACGAAGGTGAGATAAACCTTTTATAATAATTAAAGCGTAATCTCTCAGGCATTTCTCACGCCGCTCCAATTTTTATACCTCGAATCGCCATCGAAGCAATCGTTCAGCTGCCTCGCATCGCTCTCTCGAAGCTCCTTCCTGGTTCTCTGCCCGAATAGCAGTAGCAGCTTTTCCAAAGCGAGAAACTCGGTCTCGTCGATGTTAGACGCAAGACGACTCGTCGTCGGTGATTTCGGCCTCTCGCCGCTTCGGCACGCGGCCTCGCTCATCCTCCTCCACGTCTCCATCCTCTTGATGAAATCCTCGCAGAGATGCTGCTTCCCGTCGCTGCCCAAGCTCCCCGCGCTGCCGATGCTCGCGCAGCTCCCGCGCGAACCGATCGAGCCCTGATTTTTCTATCGTGTAAGAAATATTGAGAGAACATTGAAAAATGTTGCGAATCAGAGAAAAGGCACGTATCAATCGCGGCACGAAAGAGATTTCTTAATTGCGCGAGGTTTCTGATCAGAAATGCTCCCTGATCTTGGCTCTTACTTAGAACGACTAATCGTAAACAAGAATGAAGACCTTGCGACCCGAATCGTTCCACGTCGCACCAAATTTTACGAGATTACAGCTTTAATCCGGCCCCTGTTTTTTTCCCCCCGAGATACTTGTTATTTTTTCACGCGATTGCTCGCGAGATCAACGTACGCCGTAACATCTGGGCTCGGGTTTCGAGGAGGAGCGCCAGAGCTGCCAGTCGGTCAACCGTCGACGGCTAACGCGCTGCTGCTCGATGGCCGCGCTGGACCGACGGCCTTTCTTCGCTCGCTTCCAGTCCTGCAGCTTCTTCCTAAACTCGGGCGCGAGCCGTTCCTCGTTCAACGGCAGGCCGTTGCGTGCGCCCTGCGGTCCCTTCAGCCGCTCCCACTCGATCAGCTTCCGGTGGAACTCGGCGCCAAACTTCTCCCGTAGCGCCTGATAATCCCTGCGCGCTTCCCGATAGTAATTGCCGTTGTTATTGGTACCTGCAACGGTTTTACCGAGATCCTCGATGCTTTCGCTACAGCTGCGAGCTCGGCGCGTATCTGCGTTTACAACGAAAACATTTTTTATGCGGCGACGAGAAGCGCGTAGTCAGCACGCGAAAGAGTTAAGGGGTCTTTGTGATTATTTCGAGCAGATTAGTCGTGTTTCTCAAGCGGCACTTGAAGCTAGAAATAGAAAAGCTTATAGGAGCTTGACGACTGACATTGATTTCGAAAGAGACAGCGACGTACATCCGTACATAAAATTGAAGCTATTGTCATTAGGTGCATTTAGTGATAACTACAGCACAGAGTACTTAAGCGATAAGCATTAAAATTGTTCGTACAAATGTTAACATTTTCGAGAATCTTTCGTTACATTTGTAGTAGTACATTTCATTCAATGAATAGTCGCCACTGCTTCTGCTCAACACGTTGCTATTTTTAACTGTCAAGAGTAGTAAAATTTATCGTTTTAACACTAATTGTTGTAGCTAAGAAAACAACTACACCTTTTATTCAACCCATTTTATGCTTCCCTTTAACTTGTTTAATTAAATTAACGACATATTGAGTAGAAGTTGCAACTCTACTCCAATAAGTAACTGCATTTTACGGTGTATATTCCATTTAATAATGCACGGAGATTTTTTTCGTAAAATTTATCCTGAAAATCATGTAATCGTGGGACAACATGGCACTTTTACAAAATGTATGGTAAAATTTCAAAAACTCTCATAAAGTTCTTTAAAATGCCGTGTTGTCCCACGATTACATGATTTTCAGGATACATTTTAAGAGAAAATTCCTTCCGCGTGCATATATTTGCATTGACATCTAGGACCAATTTCACAAACGTCGGTTAACTGTTAACCAGAATTCAGTCAACTCCCTACCTTTGTCTATCTTGTTATCTAAAAGGAGACACAGAATCAATTAACCTTCAGTTTGTGAAACTGGCCCTTAATATATATTTTTTAATCAGACCCGTGTCATTTGTTCGCCACGTAGTTATAGCTACATTCACTATTTTTATTTCGTTTTGACAAGAGCAACATGTAACACGTATACGAGTGGGCATGTTGCCAAAAAATTTCCAAGTATGCTGTCAAATTCTAAATAATGTTGCGAAAAATGCATTGCCCATTCTTCACTTCAGTAAGAAAGTGTCACGAAATGGCAGGTTTATCGACTGGCCGGAAAACGAGATTCGTTTAACCCGCGAGCGGTACCGAAAGAAGCTTGAACAATGCCCGAAACCATCTTTCGCACAACTCTGCTGTAAAAAATTGTTTTCCAAACCCGAGCCTAAAGTAAATCGCAAATTATTCAAGTTACACCTCGTTTTGTAACCTAACACTTAAAAAAATTCTTATATAGCTTAGACAATAAATTTTGCAAATTTTTTCGTTAATTTATCTCCCAATAATTTATGTAAAGTAATTCTGTTTTGTCAAGAAGAATTAAAAGAAAGAATTAAATTATCGATATTAAAAATTGAAAGCCCGTAACTCGAGTATCTGATTAACTAATAAAAATTGCTTTATGAAAATGGAATCTCGTTGCTTCTAAACACCTCGTCAAAATATCTAACACATACAATATTATTATCATTTGCATATTAACGTAATTTCATAAAGTATAATAAATTTTAGTGCAAAACAATTACAGCCGGTGACGATTACGTAAAAATGCGACAATCCCTAAAGCTCCGTGTTGAAACCCTGATGAAATTCGTGGAGGATGAATCGCAATTGATTGCAAATAATTTGAAGAGTCGTTTGGATAGCAATAAGGCTGCTCGTGTGACTCAACTGGAGGATCTCGTCAAGAAGACGACGGGAAAGCTGGACGAACTAATGAAATTGGATGTTTCTTACGGCTGCTGGATGCGAAAGGAGACGTTGATACTCAATGACGAGACGAGGCGCTCCTTCGACGCCCTGGAGCGAGCGATAGATCCGAACGTGAAGCGCATAACGTCTATGCTGAAGAAATTGCGAAGCGACGTGGCGACCTACGTCGAGAGAGCGGAGAGAAATCTCGCCGCGTGTCGCAAGTACGACGCTCCTGTCGATTTCGCGAAATGTACGAAGGAACGGTCGGACGAGGCGGCGAGGACGCTGGATCGAATGAACGAGGAAGCGCGTCGCAGGTTCGAAGAGATCGCCAAGTTTCGCGAGACGGTCCTGAGAGCACACGAGAGGATGGCGCGAGAAACGGTAGAGATAAATTGTAAAAAAACAGCCGATTTGTTGAGATACCTGGGGAAATGTATCGTCCAGCTGAGGAAGTGGCAGAAGAAACATGGAACTCAAATAAGCAAATAGCAAGCGAGCTGTTAAACGCAAACAAAATTGAAACGGAAAATCTAATCTCTAATTAATTATCTAATTAATCAAACGGTGTTAAGGTTGCGGATAATTCGGAGAAGCTTTGGTCCCGCTGCTTCGAACCTCAGAAATAAATGCGTAACGGAACTGTTTATCTTCGCGCGGCTTTGTGATTGGATACACGTGCACGATGTTTCTTTCGCGCGAAGATTTATGGCAGAAAAGTGTAAAAGGCTTGACAAGAATCGGTAGTGAAACTGCTTGATTCTAAAATTGTAGAGACCGAAAGTTTGTTCTAGTTTCTCCAAACATTTAATTTGCAGAATATATTACTTGAGCTAGCAGCTTCTTCGCAGTTAGTACAGTTAAGGCCTGTGTCCACGATGCTGGAACTTGGTCCAAGTTCCGAGAAATGTGCTTTCATGGAATAGCTGCAAGTTGATCGGCTACACATTTCTCCAAACTAGAACTTGGACCAAGTTCTAGCGTCGTGGACGCAGGCCTTTACTAATGTTAACTCAGAATTCGCAGAACTGGTCCAGCGGTGCTGGTACTCTGGGAAGCCTCGCTAAGCTCTTACCGTCGTTCGTAAACGATTGCGCCGCGACCACTCTAATCGGGCTTGGAGGAACGCTGAAGGTGGCGTTTGTCAGAAAGGCGCGTCTGACCTTGTTCCATTTCGAATCTTGCTGCTGTATCTTTGGCGCGGGCGTTACCGCTTCCTCGATCGTCGAATACTGGAAGTAAACATCGCATTCTGCGTGTCACGGCGACGTCCGTGACAACCGTTTGGCAAGGGAAAACGTCGCCGCGGAATTCAGAAGGAACGTTATTTACAGCGTTATTTTCTTCGCGAGCGAATACGGCGCGTTTCGTTCAAATGCCGCGGCGACGCATCCCCAAACGCGCGTCGAAGGTGGAAAGAAGAGATTGTCAGTTTCGGCCTCGGCGAACGGAGCCGGCCTTCTCTCGACTTGACAATCACGTCTATATTTAACGGTGACGTGAAATATGAAAATACAGGAGTACCGAGAACGTAAGAAATTTGTGTCACTCGTCCAACCTGTCGTTTGAATTCCCTCAGGCTCAAAATGTCCTGCCGCACCCGGGGACGTTGCGGCGAGCTTCCGCCGGAATCCTGCGCGCTCGACGGCAGAGGGGACATCGATTCCGGGGAGGACAAACTTCGGATCTCCTCCTCGTTCGACGGGATCGTGATCGTCAGAGTCGGCGGCGGCCTCTTCGGCGACGCTTCAGGATCTTTCCCGTTCTCGCTCGTAGCGTGCATCGTCGCGTCCGCGTCCGATACGATGCGGATCAGCGGTTTACCGCGATTAGCCTGGTTGAGGGCGCGCAAATATTTCACACAATAATAAAATTCCCTTTAAAATAGAGCACGTCCTAATCTACAATGTGCTCTTTGCGTCTAAACATTTCATTTTGTACCCGAGAAATATATTTAAAAAATTTGTGCGAGTTCATAATTGTACAGTATACATTGTATCGTACATTGCCCATACATTTTTTAAGCGTTTTGACTTGCCATATAAAATAGAATGTTTCTAGACGCAAAGAGCACATGGTAGATCAGGCTTACGAGGCTCATAGTAATCAATAACAAATAATGCCCGTTTATCGATGCGTGTAGCATAATATGCGCCAAAAATAAATATCTTAAATAAAAAAGCATTCTGCGCGCGGAAGAAAGAAAAGAAGAAACATATCCTGCGACGTTAGACCCGCGTTTCTTCAATTCCAAATCCGGTGAATGGGCGGACACGCTCTAATTCAGATATCGAGAGATAATTGTTAACAGCGATCAAAATCTCAGTTACGGATGTACATACAATTTGGAGACAGTCCGGGGGGGAGATTTGTCTCAGAATGGAACCGTCCGTCTGTCAACGGATACGTTGATCAAAGAAATTCAGCGGGCGCGGTCGTGCGCGCATGTTGCCGTGGATATTTTTAAGTCGGCGCTTGTACGTACACCGCCACTCGTGTCGGAAAAGGAATTTCGCGAGACGTTCTTTATCGAACCGCTGCTCTCGCGACGCGACGCTCGGTTGTGGCAAATTGCGGACACTGCGCACGAGGAACAATAACATTTGTACGGAAGAACGCGATACATTCGGTATCATTGTATTTCCCGCAATTTAATCGCAGCACCAATTACAATAAGTCATGGAACTCTCCCCGATCAGCGTTACCTCGCTATGAGATTCTATGGAGTCAGCGCTCTCAGTAACGGGAGTGTCGCGATCGAGCGATCGACCGTACCGATCGGGATCGTCCCTCTTTTTATCGTCCTTCACGAGGGGCGATTGTCGATCTGGATAGTTCACGATACTTTTGCGCGAATCTAAAAAGATGTATCGTTATTAGAAGGGTTGGGAAAGTTACTTTATAAAAGTATCCAGTTACAGCTACAAGTTACCAATTGTGAAAAGTAACGCGTTACAGTTACTCCAAAAGTAACGAATCGTTACTCTGCAGTTACTTTCTTGCAATGAAAATAAAAATATCAAATCTGCATTTGAATTGTAAAGCGTCGATAAAGGCGTTTATGCGCAAATGCAAGGCCTGATGCAACCTGTGGAGGTCTAAAAAATATATGAAGTAACTATTAATGTAACCATTAAAGTTACTAGTTATCGAAAAAATGTAACTGAGTTAAGTTACAGTTACAGACGAAGAGAAAGTAACGAAGTTAGGCTAGAGTTACAAAAAAAATAACTAACTTCGTTACAAGTAACAAGTTACTTCCCAACCCTGGTTATTAGTAGAGGAAAGTTCTCTATTATGAGATGGCAGGTTTTCAACACCCACATTCAATCACAAATCTTTTTCCGCAACGATCACACAATCTAACAATGAATTTTCTGCTAAACAGATTTCGCTCCAAGGGCAATAAATTCACGGTGGCATCAACTGATGATGCCTATTAATTTAACAGAAACCCTACTATCACATATTAGGGGACTTTCCTGTTTAATTTTTATCCTCTTTCGTGCTTTGTAAAACTCAAAATTACCGATTATTGTTAATGTACAGAGAAACTTTGTAATATTACAATAATATTGCATACATAGAATAAGGTGCGTGCATAAGTGTATTGTATTAATGTTGCGCCAAATTTTCAATATATTAATCATCAAATATATTCATTACCAAATTTAAGATCAAGTTTGCTCTTTTATCGCCCTATTAACAATAAATATTTTAATAATTCTCTCTAAAAAAAATCTGTTTACGGCTAATCAGGAGGTTTCACAATTGTCCATGTACGGAGTCGTTTTAAAATTAGGGCTGTTTGCGCTCCAAAATTATAAATTCAATTGTAAACCAAACAAACGAGAGCGCCTTTAGGTCCGAGCCCAATAATTGTAAGCCCAATTATTGAGCTGCCAACATCTTGCACGGACCTAAAGGCGCTCTCGTTTGTTTGTTTTGCAATTGAATTTATAATTTTGTAGCGCAAACCAGCCTTAATTTTAAAACGACTCCGATACTAGTCCCGGAAATGTCTGTCCTAGGCAAAATTGCTTTTGAACTAATGAATGCATAATGCAGCGTCCACTCGGCATTATGAAAACAGTAGACGCGTATTCTCACCGTCGAACACCTCGTCGTTGGACGACGACGCGGACGAGACTCTGCCGATCGGCGTGGACGGGCTGGAGACTTCGCTGGTGCAAGGCGAGAGCGCCGATCCGGTGCTCCAGCTTCCGGTGGCGGTCGTGTCCGGGATCCGCAGATACCTCGTCGCCGATGTCGGCGACGTGGTCGCCGGCACGTCCGATTCCGCGATGTCCGCGAGATCGTTGGTATACGCGCGCTCCCATTTGAAGGCCGCCTTCACCCTGGTCCACTTGCTGACCTTGGGTTGCCCGCCGTTCCTCGCGGCGTTCCTCGCCGCGCGTTTCTCCGCCTCGCCCGTGCGCTCGACCAGGCGCGAGCCGAGATTCTGTTCGATCGGCACGAGGGACCGGCTCCGCTGTCGCGAGGACGCGGACGAGCGCACGCTCGAGCGCTCGCTCCTCCGTGGCGTCGAGGATGTGGCGTCCCGACAGTTCGACAGCATCGCATCCAGCAGCGACTCCGCGAAGCCGGTGTCCTCGTCGGCGAAGTCATGCTGCAGCTCCTCGCCGTTTGCCAGTGCGATCTCCAGCCGGCGATTGGCGTTCCGCTGTACCTTGGCGCGCTCCAGACCCCGCACGCGTCGGAAGTACTCGGAGCTGCGTGTCCGCAGCTCCAGGATTTGCTCCGTCAGCGCGCACAGCCGGTCCAGGTGCTCGAACGCCTCCTCGGTGAAGGGGACCGCGGACTCACCTCCCATCGCCGAGGTCGCCGAGTTCGGCATGGTGTCGTAGTCGAACGAGTGGCCCTCGAACGGCGACGCGCCGAGATCGCCTAGATAAGCCGTGAGGTCCTCCTCTTCCTCCTCGGGTCCGCGGGACGTCGTCCCCGAGCGATAATCCCGCGCGAGTGCAACCGGCGGGCACTGCGGATCCGGGGGCGGGGTCGGAAGTCGACCCTCCTCGGGCTTGTCCTTGACCCTGGCAGCGCCTCTTTGATCTCGCGGCCGGCTCGGGCAGACCGTCGACCTGTCGAGCTTCCTCTCGGCTTCGCACGCCCCGGATTCCTCGCCCGGCCGGGCATTATCCTTCGCCATCGGACGGATTGCGGGATGCGAGATTTAGATACTCCGCGGAACGTGACGGGCGATATTTAACAAACGACAATTACTGGACTTTAACGACGCTGCCATCTTTCATGCGGCTTTACCGAAACAGCGTCGTAACGTGCCGTCACGCGGTTATGCCATCCATAAAGTTTATGTAACTTGGATTGTAAAATCTTCTCGGAGATGCGAGTGTTTCACTCTTTCAATATTTGTTTCAATTTATTCGATACTTTCACGTCGTTCCGTACTTATTTCACTCTTTCAGCAAAATGTAACACCGGAATACTTCTATCTTGTTGC